CCCCCCAACCCCGCACCCACCACCACAGTACCCCACCCCCGTTACCTCACCCACTCCCTGTTCACCCCCCACATGGGAGCCCCCGGCAGGACCCACCTGAAATCCTCCAGCTGCCGGGAGATCTCGGGCTCCTGGCAGTTCTGGATGTCGTTCAGGAACTGGCGCAGGGTCTCATCCGGGAGCAGCTCCGGGCGGCTCCGGTCTGTGGGAAAAGAACAGGGCGCTGCGAGCTTCCCCACAGCAGTGCCTCCAGCCAGGGACCCTGGTGCTGCGAGCTCCCCCCAGCAGTGCCCTCAGCTGGGACCCTGGTGCTGCGAGCTCCCACCAGCAGTGCCTCCAGCCAGGGACCCTGGTGCTGCGAGCTCCCCCCAGCAGTGCCCTCAGCCAGGGATTGAGACTCTTTTCTGGCACCCAGTGAAGGATCCCGGTTCTGTATTTGGAGGAGGAGACTCCCAAAGCCCCCCAGGACCCGGCCTTTCCCCAGCTCCCCTGGCTACAGCCCCACACGGGACCTGCCCCCAGCCACCCTCCACCGAATCCGCATCCCCCTCCCCAGCCTGGCTTCTAAATGATTTCATGATCTCCACACACAAAGCAGGGGCGGGGCTGGATATATGGGGACCCCTCGCCCGGGGCTGGGACGTGGCCCCTCTGGGGTGGGGACTGGGACCCAGCTCTGTGGCCGTTTGGGACAGGAAGTGAAGGTGAATCCTGGTTCTGAGCAGCAGCTTCAGCCCAGTAAAATCTGGGGCTTTCCTAGGAGATCAGGTGGGGGGGGGGAGTCACGGGGTGTGGGGGAGTCAGGGCCCTGCAGCCCCACTTCCTGCGATTCCCCGGGACTCTCAGCCAGCCAGTAACACGGAAGGTTTATTAGCCAACAGGGACACAGTCCAAGCAGGGCTTGTAGGTACAACCAGGACCCCTCTGCCAGGTCCCTCTGGGGGGCAGGGAGCTTAGACCCCAGTCCTGGGGGTTCCCTTCGTTACCCCAGCCAGCCCCAAACTGAAACCCAAAACCCTCCAGCCGGCTCTCTCCCTCCTTCTCCCCCTCTCCCTTTGTCCAGTGTCACCTGGCCCCACCCCCCTCCTGGCTCAGGTACCCCCTGCTCTCCCATCCCCCACGCCGACAGTCCAGTAACACTCCCCCCCCTCCCGAACCGGGGGGGG